GAGAGAGAGAGAGATCTTTATAAAAATCTTAAATAAAATATACACATAGTTAAAATAATGAAAAATGTACCTGACTCTTCTATTTCACTATTGGCAAATTGGGTATCATTCAGTTCTATTATCTCATGCACAAAACAATTCTCCAAATGGGTATAAAATATTGGATTAAATGCATGTAATATAAAATCTTTAAAAAATTCCTGTATGCCAGGAAACGAAGGACCAATATTCTGACTTTGCGATGGCAAGGGAGTCACAAATCTCTTACTGAGCTGCGTCAATTTTTCAGGATTAACATGTTTTAGAGCTTTTAGAAAATTCAAGCTTTCATCATCCACAATATCATCCTACAATTGATAATAGATGATTATTTTATCATTTATACTAATACAGCAAACAGAAAACATTAATAATAGTTTTACGGTTACTTGACGTCCATTCTGTATACACGATATCAGTAACTGTGACTTGAACAACCTAGCAATATGATAATAATTGGTACAGTCATTGTGCATCGTTAACATATTTCTTATCTTTCCACCTAGTGCAATTTGAAACACCCATCCTGGCACCAAGTGATTCTCCTCCCAAATTCTTAATATATCATAAAAAGCATCTCTCTGCTTCTTGAAAGTATGGAATGCAATGGCAGACGAAAAATTTTCGCGATTATCAGTGTCAATTTGAAAAGATACATTTACCTCCCCCATAGTGCAAATCAATTTCTAGCAGACTGTAAAAAATAATACACATTTAAATTCCATGAGTAAAAAAAAGTCGCTATGCAATTGTAAAAAGTACTTTTTACTAACAACATTAATTTATAACAACTTACTCGTTGGTCAAATACCTTGTCTCCTTTACTCAAACATTTTAGCATTGCTAAATTATTTTTATTATGTACAATTAGAGGTTAAAATTTCGAAACATCAGAATACTATAGAGTATCATCAAGGAGTGAAGTTTTAATTAAGATGAATGTATACACACATACAATGCATTATTATACCATTTTCAATTACGTACTGCATATCTTTCAGTGTGAAGATTATATTTTCAAACACACATATGGGTACATATCACTATATTCTAACAACATACTTTGCAACCGTGTTGATTAAGTTAGGTTAGGTTACAAAACAGATGGATTCTAACTTCTTTTCAAGATTTCACGGTAATACATGACATTTAAATAAATGCCTTAATCATTTAAGGCATGTTTTATTTTAATTAGTTTCTTTTATACTTTAATACTTTTATTTAATACTTTTATAATACTTGTTAAAAATTTGGAGACCTGTTCTTTATCATACTACTGAACTGCAATAAAACTTATTTTCTCTCTTTCACCAAGCTTTAAATATATATTTATTTTATTTGGAGTATACACACTAGTTCAGCTACAAAAATACAAACTTTAAAATCTTTTTATTAGGAAAATATCGATGGAATAATAAGTTTACCCACAGCAAAAAAGTAAGCTTTATAACTTCATATATTCTAACTTCATAATTTTGTGTTAAATAAGCAATATATTTAAATTTTTAAGAAAATCTTGGAGAAATTCCGAAACACCGAACTCACAATCAGACGGGAATGTATCTTTATCTACATAAAACTGAAATGTTGGTAAATTATTAATTATTATTAATAACGCTTATAATTTTGTCAACAATATGTATATATCAATCTTAAGTTTTTTATGTTCTTGATAGTAGTTGCTTTCGAAGAGGATTAGAATTTTCTTTTTTGACAAATTTGTATTTAACTCTGTTATTTATTAATAGATAAAAACTCAAAATAAATACCAATAATAATCTTTCAAATTAGAAACTTTACTTTTTTACTAGCAATAGATAAGTTTATTTTCGAATATACTGACAAAGAACTACAATACCGACGAGATACTATTAAAGACCGACAATCTTACGGGAGTTAGCGGGACCGCTAAGAGGGGATAATTGAAGAAATGGATTGATATTATCGATTGTTTTGACTGTATTGAGGATAACAAAGAGAGGATAACGTTTATTTATTACTGCTATTATGACGGATTTAATTTTAAATTAACAATTCCTTTTACTCGAACTATTAATTTAAAATTAAATCCGTCATAATAACAGTAATATCAGTAATAAATGAATGTTATCCTCCCTTTGTCCCTTTAATAGTATCTTGTGTCGTGTCTACAGTCATATTCTGAAGCGCTGAAGCTGTCATATTTGGGAAACGCGCGCTATTTATCTTTTTAATTCTATAATTAATTACAGATGATTTAAATATTAAATAACAATAAGTTTATAAGAATAATCATATAGAATATAGTTATATAAAAAAATCAAATTATGTAAGTGATTTTATAAAAATAAGTAAACATACTACAATTATTTTCATTATATATGTATGTATATATATATATATATATATATATATATATATATATATATATATATATAGT